TCCAAAGGTTATGTACTTCCATTTCTGTAAAAGTCCGTAAGGACTTTTACAAAAATGGCATTACTCAGTTGTTGAAACGCTGGGTCATAAAATGAGATGATTGACATTTTGATGAATAATACATTTAAGAATTTAAATATGCATCTTTAATCTCCTTTATAAAAATCGGCAAAAACTTTTTGGGGCACCTTATATATATATATATATATATATATATCACATAAAATTATGAAATGGACAAAGTCAGACAATTATTTTAAAACATATTTATGTTTATACATTCTTTTTATAGATACAAATATTTAAGTAAATGCTCTGTTTAACATTATTAAACAACATTTACTGGAGAGAATGTTCGAGAAATACGATGAAAGAGAACGAATATATATATATATATCGACTATTACGTCAACAGCACATGAGAATTGCTTATAGTGGTGAAGTTTTCGTGCAGGACCATCCACACTTTTTGAAGGGCCGAATACAGAGACCTGGTGCACTTCGTGCCACAAGGTCCCCCAAACGACCCTCCACAGGTTTTGAATTCAGAGTTGTCCTTCTCCTAGACCAGTTGCCATCCAAGGTTATAGAACCCAGTCTGTCCTGCTATATATATATATATATATATATATATATATAGATATAGATATAGATAGATAGATAGATAATGAACTGTCATTGAGCAAGAAAATTATTAACTACCAACACCGAGGTTCGAGTGTGACATTCTGGATGTATAAATATATATTTTCCGCCAAGTGTATAAATAGCGGTGTCAGGCTACTGACTACAGTGATTATTGAATACTTATTGAGTGACAATTGAGTGGAAATATCCAGTCGAATTAGTGTGAATTATTGTGTGTGAATGATTTGGGATTTGATTTAGGATTTACCAGACGTTAAGCTGAGCCGCGCTACGAACAAGGTATTCACTGAAATGGTTAATTATATTTGATTGACTTTTACTTCTTTGTTCTTGTTAAGTATTTATTTACGGTTGTAATTAAATACTGTTTTATCTTAACATTAAAGTCTTGAGTTATACTTATTTATTAACAGCCATCGTACATCACAAAATGTACAGACTGATAGATAGATAGATAGATAGATAGATAGATAGATAGATAGATAGATATGAAAAGACTGAGATAAATAGATATGAACAGAATGAAGCTAGAAAGGAATAGACTGGAATAGATAGAAAGATAGATAGATAGATATGAAAAGACTGCGATAAATAATTATGAACAGAATGAAGCTAGAAATGAATAGACTGGAATAGATAGATAGATAGATAGATAGATAGATAGATAGATAGATATGAAAAGACTGCAATAAATAGATATTAACAGAATGAAGCTCGAAAGGAATAGACTGGGATAGATAGATAGATAGATAGATAGATAGATAGATAGATAGATAGATATGAAAAGACTGAGATAAATAGATATGAACAGAATGAAGCTAGAAATGGATAGACTGGGATAGATAGATAGATAGATAAATAGATAGATAGATAGATAGATGGATGAACAATTTATAATCGGTGTTTTCCTTCCTGTAATTTGACTTCCTGGGTTGTCGAGCTACAGCTATACGAAGCAGCTGTTTATGAGGTGCCAATTTCTTCATTTTTGTTTTTGCCTTCTCTCACCATTTCATTTGCTGCTTGATATTGTTGTCAGTGTCTGTTTAAAACCAGAGGCTGTTTCACAATATTTCTAACCATATACAATATATGTATAAAAAAAACACCATTCCTTTTATAAAACTAAGTTCGTGCTCACATTTCAAACTCTCCTAATCAGTAAAAAAAAATCAGTTGAAATTTCTAGGATCCATCATGTGGAAAGAGGGCTAGGAAATTTTGGCACACACAGGGTGTACTGTAGGCAAGAGGGAATAGAAAAGACAGCACATATTCTAGCTAGCGAGATTACGTAAATGGTGAGTAGAGTTAACAAAAAAGTCCAAATTTATTAAGAGCAACAAATGACAGGACACTGTGGAGAGACATGACCGTCAACGTCCTGAAAGGACACGGCACGCAGAAGACGATACTTTTAGAAATATTTCGAACAAGATTTAATGGTAAACTTCGACAAATTCATATATCATTTTCAGATAGATAGATAATGACATACTGATATATATATATATATATATATATATATATATATATATATATATAAATATAAATTGATTTATTTAAAATATGTTTTTTTCGCTACACAGTTCTAACCGGATTATATATATTACTGTTCTTTCTTTTATATATATATATATATATATATATATATTACATGAATCATTCATACAAAAAACCTCAAACTCAGCGTTGCGACCGCACGCTCTAAAATTTCTTACAATTACCAATAACACATTTCTAAAAACATATTTCGGATGACATCTATTCTTTCGTTGTCCTGTTATTACCGGGATGTAAAAAACAAATCTATTTCCATACGTGATGATGTCTGTATGCACAGATGAAAGCTGGTAAAAAATTAAAAAAAAGACCTTATGCAACTGGAATTTATAACCAAGGGTCATAACATTCATCTACAGGTTCCGGGTTAATGTACTTTATTAAATTTGTTTGCGAAGAGGGATTCTCGCCATTTATCCCATTAACTTCAATATCTGTTTTTTGTATGAATGATTCATGTAAATTGAACTGCACCACATGCTTTATATATATATATATATATATATATATATATATATATATATATATATATATATATATGAAGTGTGATCTGATGAACCAGGAAAAAAGAAATTCCATGGAGAAAGAAATTATAACCAATGGACACTTAAAGTTGCCTGTTTTTATTGGATCAGTCGCTGTGGAATAACATTGAGCTCTCTGGATTTTATTCTCCTTGGGATGATCCATACGGATTACAAATATTTTTTCATTAATTTTTATATTTTATATATATATATATATATATATATATATATATATATATATATATATATATATACTAGCCGAATTACCAGGGCTACGCTGTGTGTCACATTTTTTTGTAAGAAAATGATGATTGATCTTAATCATTGTTATAATTTGTGAAGAAAAATGATACATTTTAATATTCTTCAAAGTGACCTCCATCTTCTGGATATCCTCCTCTATATTTTAGATAGGAGTCATTCCCAAGTTCAAATTAAAATTTAATTTAAATTAAAGGGGAAAAAATTTCAGCGCTGGGTTTCTGAGCCCTGGGTCTACTTTTCATCAAAATGAAATATACTTATTCAAGTACCCTAAGAGCTATTTTCTTGTACAAAATTAAATTTGATTTATATCAAAAGGAAAAAAATTTTTAGTGGGTGGGTGGTGTTGTCTTGTGAGGGACACTTTTTGATCAAAATGCAATATACTTAAACAAATACCCTGGTTAATGTAGTTTCAAAACATATATGTTTATGGGGGTCTATCTTCAAAACGCTAAGAGAAGTTCGATAACAAGCAGAGAGAGAGAGAGAAAGCTAGAATTTTATTATATATATATATATATATATATATATATATATATAGTTAAGTTATAAAGAACTTGGTAAACTGAATTCGAAATCCTTTAAAAAAAGGATTTTGGTGAAATAAATTATTGTAATGGCACCTTAAAGTGGTCTGTTTTCATTATTATATATATATATATATATATATATATATATATATATATAGAGAGAGAGAGAGAGAGAGGAGTTAGATAAATAATGAGCATACTGTGATAGATATATACATACATCCATGTTTATATACGTACACACGATCAAATGTCTTTCTATTCAGCAATTTCTCATATATGCTGTGTAGGTGTATAAAAATAATTTTCGAAATACATTCCTTTTTTTTGAAATCTAATTCCTGTGTAAAATTAGCCGGTTTAAAACTGAGGCCTCTCAATTTCACCTGTTTACCAAATCCTCTATTTATAACCATATCAAATATATCTGAAAATTCCATTCAGTTTATAAAACTAGTTAAAGACTATCTTCGTGACCACGTTTCAAACTCGCCTCATTGTCCAAACTAATCCGAAAATAACCATTTATTCTTTATGACACAAAGCCATTTATATCTTTTGCTTCCGAAGCAATGGCATAGGAATATTTCAAGTTATAATAGAAAGTGAGATTTCTTTAAGAAATCTTCCAGTGACAATTTCTAGGCGTTATTTACAATCTTCTCAGACCTTGGAATGTGATTGTTCTCTTTCGTCTTTTAAGCAAGTGATGGCTTCTTAAAATAGTCACATGCCAATGTTCACAGCAGAAGAAACAGGCAAATCATCTTTGGAGACGGTTTGTCAATTGTTCGGAAGGAGTTTCAAATAGAGCAACATCAGTTGGAAAACACGAAGCAAACGTTACAAAAAAGCAAAGAAAGACAGAAAGATCACAGATAATGTTAATAAGCCAGAGGCCTACACAAATTATTTATGGGAATATCTCTTAATATTTTGTTTTATATCGTTTTACGAAAATCTATGACTAAGTTGAGAATACGTAATTCAGATTAATTAAAACATTAAACGTAATTTGAATTAACGTAAACGTCGCTTTAGTCCGATGAAGTCTTAAAGTAAGGGTCACACTGCATTTTCCATTTTATCATAGATTATCCTAAAAATACACGTCTATCTATCTATCTATCTATCTATCTATCTATCTATCTATCTATCTCCATTTATTCCTATCTATCTATCTATCTATCTATCTATCTATCTATCTATGCGCGTACATATACTAGTCCATTGATTTTCTAAGTGACGAAAAAGATTCACAAGAAAAACTTTTTCCTTACATTGTTCTTTATATATATATATATATATATATATATATATATATATATATATATATATATAAATATATATACAGATGCTACACACACACACACACAAATATATATATATATATATATATATATATATATATATATATATATACCGGGCGTAATAGCAAAATTGTGCAAATCAGGTAAGTTACAAGGTTAGAAAGGGCAAAGTTCATCTTGAATAGGTTGGAAAACGATCGTCGAATAATATATATATATATATATATATATATATATATATATATATATATATATATATATGTATATAAATAAAAAGAAAGAACAGTAAGATATAAAATCCGGTGTTCTTATAGATATTTTATTTTTACAAAATAGTGCTCAATGTAAATTTACAGAGCATTAATATTATAAAAATTATATATATATATATATATATATGAATTTTATTTCAATACTTTATGAGCTTGATTTTTATCTATGATTAATTAATGATGAACATGTCTACGTTTATGATCGATTTTATAACGATTCTTCTGTTAAGCTAGGAGAATAAGTATATATTCTTATTGCCCAATTTTACTGTTTCCCCCATTTTGCTGCAACACCGGAATATATATATATATATATATATATATATATATATATATATATATATATATATATATATATATATATATATATAGATGCAACTTGGTTTTGGTGCATTTCAAATGTACTTCGACAGGTGAGAATCGAAAATGGTTATGAACAATCCTGCTTGTAGGCAAGCCGTATGTGAAACGTCACTTCCTTTTTTTTCTATTTGTTTGAGAAGAAAAATATACATAACAAAAAAAGGTGACGAATCAATGGGGGTGTTAAATGTCGGATGGTCTGTGGAGATTTTTTTCTTGTTGATAAACACCGGTCACAATTTTAGGCACATCATCTCACAAGCGTCCTAAGAGGAGAGGAAAGATAATGATAGGGAACAGTATTACGTTTAAGTAGGTAAAAATTGTAGCGATACTTCTAGTAGTAATTGGGAATATTATCTAGATCTGAATTGCATGTATTTATGTTGGGGTTATCACTACTAATTTTGTAATCAGTGAACGTGTTTTGTGGATTAAAATTTTGTCATGGTGATTTCCTCTAAAAAAAAAAATTATGGTATGTTAATATAACCTTTTATAATCAAATCTTGAAATATTCCTGGATAGTATGGCGTGTAGAATAAGTATGGATGTAAAACGATTTATCTGAAAATATTACCAGTAATATATATGAAAAAAAAAAAGAATTATTAGGTTGGTGCAAAAATAATGACGTAATAATGTCGTTTTTTGACGTATTTTTTAATGTCAAAAAAAACGACATTCTTACGTCATTATTTTTGCACCAACCTAATATAATTTAATTAGTGGAGCGGTACATAAGAGGGTGGGGAATATATCAAAGTAGGTGTATTTATAATTTTAAAACGTTTATAGTTATGCAATTAAGAATTTAACAAGATTGTAGTGTTAGATCCTTAATATGTCTACAGAAAACTGCTGTTTCATATCTTTGATTTAATAATTGGGTGATATTCAAGAGGTCAATGATACATATTTTCTCCTGTAAATATAAGAGGCAAGGTTCGCTCAGAGAATTGCAGGTTCTGGCTTGTCTTAGGATTTTCCATTTAACCTTATGTGTTTGTCCTTCTTATTTCGAAAGTGATGTCATATTTTGTGGAAGTGCAGTTGAAATGCACTGAAACCATGTTGCATCTTTGTAGTGAGTAAAATGGTTTTGTCTATATGATAAAATTATAATAAATAAATGATTATCGCTCTACTATCGGTATCGAACCTTCTTTTGGATTAATG